TCTTTTAGTTTTAGGACTTACAAACAACCGTTATGTGAACAAAACTATAATACTCTCTTTAGCAACTTTGTTGCGAGAGTATAAAAATAAAATAAAAAAAAATTAAAAAATAAAATTTGAAAAAATTAAAAAATAGAACAAGAATAATCATAATAGTTCCTAAACACATATTGGCACTTTATCAGCCACCGACGTTCTGTTGTTGATGCATGGCATAAGCAATTTAACTCGTTCACTAGTGAACCGCAAGCAACCGGCTTGACTGCCGCTTGGTAGCCGCCTGCCACTGTCTGTCTCAACAGCGCGCAGCAAGTTGCTCACAAATGGCATTGCAGGAAGTGCAGCAGAAAAATGCAAGCACAACAAAAGCGACAAAGAAGCAAAAACAGCCAATGCAACAGTGCAAAATAAAACTAAAAGTGGAATAGACTAGCTGGACGTGCGCTGCAAACGGAGGCAATGAGGTAATTTTGTGTAACACGAAAACGTGATGTTGACCAGTTTGAGCGGCAAATAGCGGCAATGTAATCGCCTCGGCTACTTGGCTACCGTTGCACACAATTCGTTCGTTGGTTGTTTCCTCTTGTTGTTGTGGCGTGTAGCAGCAACTGTTGCACGCCGTACAAGTGCAGGCATCACGGGCCAGATAATCGTACAAAACTGCGTTCAAACAACATGTGTATGTGTGTGCGCTTTGGTCACAAGCGATGTGCAGCTTGTTTGGCTGCCTACTGTCCGTTGGCCTTTGGTGGGCTCCCGAGCGGTTTCTGACTCTGGTGCAAGTGGAGCGACCGTAAATGGCGATGTCAGCGTGTCAGCGAAGCGTTCGCGAATTCACATGCTCAAACTCACCACATTAAAAACCGTTAGGTTTAGTTAGGCGAACAGAATTTGAGTTTCAGACGAGATTCAAGTGAAGTGACACTCCATATATTTTGATTTATAAATATGCGTACGCAAATTACAGGGCCACGAAATATAATCTTTCAAATTCCCCAAAATTCTATCGTCTTCTATAAATGATGCCAAAATCAATGGTTTCTCTAAATTTTATCGAAATCATGCAGCCGTGACTTGCTTTCGCTTTAGACAATTTTGTCAGTTTATAATTAGATTGGCTTTGGGCCTTTTCGTCAAATAGGTATGCTACCACCCTCCCTCCTCTTTATCTTATTCATCTGCAGCTCTTTTGCATTTGAAAGTTTAATAGAAAATCGATAATTGTAACTTTAAAGGACGACTGTAAATGTGTGAAGGATACAACGAGCAAAAGAACATTTACACATATGAACTACTATATTGGTTTCTAGGCGTACATTTCGAGGTATATACATATGTATACACTTAAAAGACCTTTGAAGACCAAAAATGTGATAATAAGTTCTTAGAAACACGTTTCGGGCTCCCATTTCAGATTTTTGGTCTAGATTTTAAATGTAGGCAACAATTTTTATTGTTGTAAAGAGTGACATAAACAAAAATATTTATCACTAAAAATTCTTAGAAACTCGTTTTGGGCGCAGATTTCGTATTTTTGGGATATACCCTAAATGTAGGCAACAGTTTCTTTTGTATGTTGTTAAGAGGCACCCCATCGGCGATGCTCTTATTTTGTTTGACAAGTGCCTGTCCCGCATTCCAAGTTAGGACTATGAAAAGAAAAAAAAAAAAATCATATTCTTTAACGGATAAAATTTTTACTTAGTTTTGGCTATTTCCTCATTGACTTATCGCAACACTGCATTTAATCGCAATCAAGTCACTCTTGTGCAATTGTCACCGTGTCATGTATCTATGCTTGCATTGTCATCGTGCCATGATCGGTCCACCGAAATGGGTTGGCTGCCCGCCTGCTTGAGTTAAGCCGGAAGCTAACTGTCTGTCGCTGTCACAATTTGTATAACTGGTGTTGGCTACTCGTGCAATTAAATCGTCAATTGTTGTTACACTCCTCTTTATTTTGTTGTTTCCATGAGTTATTACATTCGTTTCAAAATTGTTGGCTTTGAACAAGTGTTTATTCTGTCGGCAAATTATTGACTGAAATCATACCAAAATACATTTAGAAGCGATTTGCTGTTATCAATTGTTCTGAATAAGAAGCATGTTTTCTGTTGTGAGAGCGGTACTCTCCTTTTATTTCTCTCCTTATATGTAAGGTTAGAGAACTTTCCGATTTAGCAGTGATTTCTAATAAGCATGTTTTCGCTTTCTTTTTTACTTACAGCCAAAAAGCAAAATGGTGCTGCCCTGCGTACAAACAGTCTCGGCTCCGGCACACGCACACCCCCGCTCGAGCGCAAAAGCAAGCTGAGTGCTTTGGGGCGATTCTTCAAGCCGTGGAAGTGGCGGCGGAAAAAGAAGAGCGAAAAATTCGAAGCGGCTTCCAAGTGTAAGTATCAATAAACCATCTCTTAGCCTTAGTACTATGTAGGTGTGTGTGTGTACTTGTGTCTTACTTAACGCAGAGCTAATTTGAGCCACTAGCACACCAACTAATTCACACACTAATCCGCACACTATTTCTTATACTAACACTAACACAACGAATTGGCAAAGGGGAAAACTATTTTTTTTTGTTTTTGTTGTTTTCAAAAGCATTCCAGACGCTTACGCTCAAGCTCAGCATTACTCTTTACTTTTTCTTTTTCTTTGACTTTTTGTTTCTGCTTTACTTATATTTAATTTCCGTTTTTCGTTTTCGGTTTTCGCTTTTACTTTATTTGTGCTTTATTTCATTTTATCGCTAACAACAACAATTTGCTTGATCCACTACCCGATTTCTCGTTTGCTCCGCAGCACTTGAACGCAAAATATCGGTACGTGCCAATCGTGAGGAGCTTGTGCAGAAGGGTATACTGCTGCCAGAGAGTCCATTGGCGAATATACAGGAGCCAGGTGAGTAAGCGGATGCGGAGTCGGTGCGGACGAAGGCGTTGAATACACTCGAGCTGCCCTTTCTAGCGGGATTTATGTCACACCAGTGAAATATCTGTCGAATGCAAAGCGGTCTTATGCACGAATAACGGCATATTAATATGCGCAATTGCGGTCGTTGCATGTGGCCGCAACTAGAGAGGGAGTGTACGAGGGGGAGGGTGTGTGTTACTGAAACTGTTGCATTATTTTAGGCGCTGTCGCATGCAAGGGTCTTAACTGCTCGTTCAGTTTTGATAAATATGCACGAACAGTGTATGCATGTAGGTCGTCGCCATTATTATGCACCGCTTTAGCTGCAAGAATCTCACACTTGGCACATGCACCCCTATTAGGGAGGACCGCTTTCCCTAGCAGTAAACAAAATTCTTATATAACACTCTATTTTTCTTAAACAAAATTAAATGGTTTTGTTGTTCCTAAAACATAGTTTGTTATATGTTATATGTTACATAGTTTGTTATATGTTTTAGCAAACACGTTTCAATACCTGTGCTGTTTTTGTTTTGAAGACACTCTGCACTAATACTAATTTAAATTTTTTAGTTTTTGGTTGCTTGTTTCCATTTCCGGTATATTTAATGTTTCAGTTCACGTTTTCCCTTTGTACGAATTTGTATTTGTGTTGAATAAAATTTGACCGGATTGCAAAAAA